CCCAAAATGTGGGCAGGAAGGAGATTTGGACCTGCAATGGAATTTATGTGTACATCCCTTCTCCTCAGACATCCTGAGGGCTAAGGGGGACAAAACAGCAGAGAGGATGATGAGATTCATCCCTTCAAACAACCTTCATGTGGCACATCAGCTGGAACCTTGCTGGCTTGGACAGCACCTCAGGAGCCCCCAGAGTTCCCCACAGCCTTTTCCCTGCTCCTCCTGCACAATGGCAGCTCAGTGACCACATCCTGCAGCTCTGGGCATGTTGCAGACACGAGTTCACTCCCCACACATGGGGCTGCTGCTGTTATGAGCTGCATAATTTGAAATAAGAGTAGAGGTTCCCCTTCCCATCACTCCAGCATAGAAGGATTGAGTAGAGCTGGGTGTCAGGGCAGGGAGTTGAGCTCAGGGTCCTCCTTTACATTTTTCCCAGCCTCTTTTTCCTGTTCCTTCACCTGGAAAATGGGAGTGAGCACTGGAGCTGGGAAGGAAAGCAAACATGAAAATCAGATGGGCCATTGCCAGAACAGCTCCTGAGTATCAGAAATTCTCAATGTGCACACAAGGCCCCCAATAAACAAGCCCTTGATGCTTATTCATTTTTTATTTGCCTTCTGTAGTAATGCTTTGGAGAAGATGTGCTTCAAGCCTTTGTACTTACAAAGTTGTGACTGCTGGCTGGTATTTGATCTCTTCTTGGTGACATGCATTTATGGTCTTGACAAACAAAGGCTCAAAATAGGCTCTGTGTCCTCTTTACAAAGAAAGCATCTGAGGGGAAAGAACCCCCAACAAAGTAAATAGAGACAAGAGGTTTTTGAGCATGGGAATGCTCATCTCTGTTATGGTGAGCACGCTGAGCTACAGGAAGCTGGCATAAAAATCTTAAAAACTAGGTTAAGACTCACAAGCAGCAGAACAAATGCTTTCTGTTGCTGCATCTAAGAAAACTGCTCCTAGCAAGGCTATTTGTGCCTTGGTCATCAGAACAATTTGAACATGAAAGCTGATTCTGTCAATCCAAATGTACCCTGACTTCATTTTTCTAAATAACAACACAAAACCCCCACATCAGTGGTGCTCAGAGATCACATGCAGGCTTCAGATTAAGGAAAATGAGGTTGTTTAATATTCTGCTGATTCGAGAAAAACAGCACTGACATGACTCACCTCTTTTCTTTCTCCCCAGAGAATCATTCCTTTCTAACACAAGTTTGGATTTCTCTTTATATAACCAGCTCATACAACAGGCATTCAGCTGAGAGAAAACAAACTAATCAAATAATCCATACAATTTATATAGTTGCATTAAAAAAATAAAAGGAAAGTCCTATCAAATGGGCATGCATTGCTTTGGCTGTGGACTATGCATTAAAATATAATTATAAAAAAAATGTTTTCCTTTCTGTGTTTCTTCTGTGGATACTTCATTTCAAGAAGTATTTTCCTGTAACTGAATGAATGCCAATTGCAGAGATATTTGCTAAAAAAAAATTCATCATAACTTTTCATCATAAATATAAAAGGCTAGAAATCCTCTGAGAGATAACTAAACAGATCAGATCATTGAACTCTGGGAAAATGCTGAAAACTTGTTTACCACAAGACTCCTATAGTGAGAAAATAAACCAAACAAAAGGGGAGTCACGTTTTTACTAATAGCCATTCTGATCCTGCCAGCAGTTTTGTTTGTGACACCTACAGAATCATATGAAGTAGTAAATGGAAAATTGAGGACAATTTTTCAGGTGCTTTGTACCCACAGGTAGAACCAGGTTTAGTCTCATTCCAATTTCATTCCAATTTCAGAGGGATTTACAAATCAATATACTTGGAATATATTAGTTAGTGCCTGCCTCCATCAGCTTTATTTACCTCTGTGGAAAGGCTCCATTCCTGCTTGGTGTTGGTGTTTCAACACCAAGACAAGGCTTTGCCTCACGTTGGTTTTTCCCCCTCTAAAGCCCTGCCCCAGAAGGAATGCAGAGCCTGCTTTAAGGAAGGAAGCAGGAAGTGCCACAGATGCATCATCATCACCTCTGACATTTGGAAGCAAAAGACATGCAGACAATCCTATTTTAACACATGAGACATTATTTAGCAATGTAAGTTTGAATAATGCAACACAATTTCTTTTTTTTGGTACCTCCTCTCCTAAACATGATGATGGTTCATTTTGGAAAGAACAAGGTCCAGGGGCAGCTCCATCAGCTGGCACAAAGCACACCAGGGATTTATCCCCACACTGAGCCTCTTGGTGCTTGGTTTGTCAGGGATGAGAGAAAATGCTCTTGAAGTGAAAGCAGCAAGGCAGATTCCAGCCCTGTTTGACTGTTTTGTACCAGGCAATATTTTAAATCCAAAGAAATCCTATAAAGTGTCCTCTATAGAGGCAATCAGTATGGGAGCTGGTTAAAAATACATCCCTCTCATCCTGTGTGCTTCCACAGTTACTAAAGATGTCTTGGAGATATTTTCTTGGGTTGAAAATATTTTAATATATTCGGTCTTATACAAATGCTTAAATCTGCTATGAAACTTTTCAACCCTACATTTTAAACATGAAATCAGTATCATTCTTCATCTCAGAAGGCAGCTATTGATTAATGCAAACAGACTTTCACAGAATTCACTAGAAACCAGCAGCATTTTCTAGCATGACCTAAAAGCTATATAGAGAAAAACCATTTAGAACTTGCTACTTCCTCTCCTTTTAGGACTAAAAATAGATTTGGCTCATTATCTCACTTGGCACCTTAATGTGTTCCATGGCACGATGGCACAGCTTAGATTAAACCTCCACATGCTGCTTTTTCCTTAGGATATACCTTAAACACCTCAAGAAGGGGCAGTGCTTATTGAACCAGAAACTCTTTGATATTTTACTTTAAACCCTTTTTTGGGTTCTGTTCTCAGGACAATATTCCCTGGTGGATGACATCCATGGGTGGATGTCACCCCAACAGCCACACTTGGGCCTCCCTCAAATGGAATCTTGGATGAATTTTCTCATCAAGCTCCACTATTAAATCCATGCCCATAGACTTTTTTCTTTCCCCCAAAGGTCAGTGGCATAACTGACTCCCAGGGACACACAGCCCAAAAGTGACTCCCAAATCAGATGCATGCATATTTAACTTTGAAATTCCTGCTTAAAGAAAAGCTGCAAGCAGACATCTCAGTGTGATAAATGGGGGTTAAATCCCCCCAAAACACAACAAATCCCACATAACTGCTCTGTTTGCCTCTGCTTTCTGAAATGGCCAAACCAAATTTTCTTTAATTAAGAGTAGCAAAATATTTTCCACATATTAATGCAAAATCAGAGCCAGGCTCTTCTCAGTGGTGCCAAGTAATAGAACAAGAGGCAGAGGTGAAAAACTGATGCTTAGAAAGTTCCACCTGAACATGAGGAAGGACTTGGCTGTGCAGGTGAGGCTGTGGAGTTTCCCTCCTCTGGAAATATTCCAGACCCCTCTGGGCACAATCCTGTGCCCTCTGCTCTGGGATGACCCTGCCTGAGCAGGGAGGGGAGGTTGGACCAGGTGACGCCACTGTGGTTCCTTCCAACCTCAACCTGTGCTTCTGTGTATGGGAATGAAAGACTGCATTGATGGGAAATTGTCTGATAAAGGCTCATCCCTAAAATTTTGCAAACTTGCACCTGTCTCACAACAGGAACTTGGTCAGCTGCACATATAACCACTGCTCTTGAGTCAGAAAAAAGTCTGCTTGTAGGTGAGTGTATTCCTCAGCACTGGTTCCGTGCAGAGACAAAAGAAGAGTTTAAGGCAGATACGAGATGAGAACCCCCACAATCCCAGCAAGTGCTGAGTGAGCATTCCACAGGACTTTACTGGGAGAGTGATTAAAAGCATCCTTATTTTTTACATGTCAAAACTTCAAGAAGACCTGACCTGCATCACTGGCTACAGACCAGCAGCCCCTCTGACGGCACCCTGCGCCGCACGGGAGGAGCAAAAAAAAAAAAAAAAAATCCATAAAAGCAGTTATTCCCTGTAAACAAATCCTCAAACCAAGCTGCTCAGCCGAGTCGGAGCATCCCGTTTCTGCGGGCTCCCCGTGCGGCACCTCTGCCGCGAGGCCCCCGCCCCAGCTCCGGCCGAGCTGCGCGGGGTCCCGGGGGCACGGAGCGGTTCTCGCTCATCCTGCCGGGAACCCCCGCGGGACACCCACCCCCGAGGGACACCCACCCCCGCGGGACATCCTCTCCCGAGGGACACCCACCCCCGAGGGACACCCACCCCCGCGGGACTCCCTCCCCCGCCGGCCCCGGGGCGCGGCGAGCGGCGGACACCGAGCCCCGCGGCTGCCTCGGTGCCGGGGGTCGCGCCGGTCCCTCCCGCGGGGCAAAGCTCCCGGACGGACGGGACGAGCCCCGGGGCGGCTCCGGGGACACGGGCGGGTCCGCCACAGCCAGGGCGGGGCGGGGCGGGCGGTCGCTCCCGCGGGCCGTGAGGCGCTGGGGCGGGGCGGCCCCCGCGCACCTGCGGCGCCCCCGCCTTTGTGCAGTGCAGGTGCGGCGCCCACCCCACCCCCGTGACGTCAGGCGGGCGCTCGCGGGGCACCATGGGAGAATCCCAATGTTTTCCAACGGATGCGCTCAGCAGCGCGGCGGCTTGAGGCGACTCCGGCAGCGGCGCTCGGGGGGGCGTCCCGGGAGGGGGCGGCGGCGGCGGGGGGCCGGGCCGGCGGCCCGCGCCCCGGCTCTTCCCCACCCCGCCAGGCGGCATGGCCCACCCCCCTGAGGCGCCCGGAGCTGCCCCCTGAGCGCCCGGAGCCGGCGGAGCGCCGCGCCGCAGCCGTGCCGACGGCGCCGGGGAAGATGCTGCCGCGGCTGGTCCTGCCCGGCTGACGCCCCGCCGCCGCCGCCGCCGCCGCCGCCGCACCCCCGTCCCCATTGTCCCCCGGCCGCCTCCGGCTCCATGAGCGCCTCCTCCTCCCTCCTCCTCTGAGCTTCCCGCCCTCCACCTCATGGCTGCATCGGAAGAAGGGACCGGCTGCTTTCTCCCGCGAGGCAGGTCGCAGAGTGACCCCAGCATCCTCACGGACCCCGCGGGCCCCGGGGAGCACCCAGGTAACCGCCCCGCTCCCGCCGGCGGCGCTCGGGGCGCGCCGGGAGCATCCGCCAGTTTGTAGGGAGCCCGTCCGCCCCGGGCGGGCAGGAATTGGGAACACATTTCCTGCAGTAAGTGCCGAAATGCTGCAGCGGCTGAGCCGCGCACGGGATCCGAGCGAGAGCGAGCGCGTCCCGCGGCTTTGCCCGCCCGCCGAGCGGGGGGCGCGTCCCGGCCGGGGCTCCCGGGGCCGCCGGCAGCGCCCGACCCCCGCTCCCGCAGAGCTCGTGGATGACTTTGTGGGGAGGGGGAAATGAGCGCTAATAAAGCAGGCTGTTTGCATGGCATCGCCATGGAGACAAGGGAAGCAGAGTCATAATTAAACGCTTTCTGCCCACAAGAAGGTAATTTTCACTTCACAGGGAGAAGCGTAATCTCCTTGTGAAGTGTGGGCACAGAGGGTGGTGTTGAGGGGACACAGCCCAGTCGTTAGTGTATAAATAGAATATTGTGATTAGATTTTTTTTTTTTAACAATGGCAAATGGTGTTTTCATCTTCACTTAAAGGAATAATTCTAAATGTCTGTTGGTGGTGACTCAGTAATTTCAGATCGTCAGAATCTAAGCAGTGTTGAGACCTTTAGAAAAAAAAAGAAACAAATAGCTACATCACTTTGATGTGATGTGATTGCACGGAAAGGCACAACAACAAGCTGGAAGCAAAGGGTAAAAGCCAGTTTACTCTCAGTTTCCCTGAATAGATGGTGGTCACACAAGAGCTGTCAGGTTTCTTTATGAGAAAAGAAGTAATCAAAACAGCGTAAAGACAATGAATGGGCTGTTGATCATCACTACCCACTACTGATTCCTAAGCCTAGAGATGAGTTTAGGTTTTGGGTCAGGCACTATCAGCCTACAGGAAACAGTCCCTGGATGCAATTTCGGGTTGAACTTTGCTCCCCTTTCTCAGATTACTGAGTAAATAAAATATTCCAGGCTCTATTCATACACCTGCTATATTGCTCCCTTCTGAGCCAATGAGGATATTAATATTTGTATCTAATTTAAGTTCTTCTATTTATTTGCCTTATCAAGCAATTGTGAGCACACTGGTCTGGAGTGAAACACAAATTGAATTAAGGCAAACAGTGGATGATTTATCCCTGATTACCAACTGTTCTGATACCCTAAGTGAAGGGAACAAAGGACTCTTCTAACATGAACTGCTCGACTCACTCCCAAAGGGGCAATCTTGGCTGAAAGAGGAATGTATGTTTCTGCCATTTGATTTCTGCAAGCAGAAGTGACTAATGAAAGGAAGGCGTGTGCAACCTCAGTTTTAATTCCTCTAGATTGTTTTCTGCTAATTAATTCTTTTGGCCTTTGTGAGATACACAACAAAGAAAGTACACAACATGTCCGACAAACAGACAAAGATATAAACATTATTGTGCTTTTTGTTAGGAGAAGGAACTGTCAATACCAAGGAGCATTTTTTCCCCTAATACAGACTCCATCAGACAAACCAGTGTCCCACTGCATGGCAGAAGCTCTACTAAAATGCAAGAGGTGTCCTGTATGTATTCTGTTATTCATGCAATATGTGGAGAGAAACAAAAGGTGTTAAATACATCTGGCTTTTGTCCAGGTAGCTATGAATAGTCAGGGGTAGGATTAGCATGTTTGATGAGATTTTCAGGTTTTAAATTTGTTCATCAAATAGTATTGAACATCTCTGTGCTTCCAGATGATAATAAAATGAACCTAAATTGTTTATTTTAGATAAAATTTTACCCTACAGTGTTGTGAGTAATCATTATGAGCAATTTCATACATTTGGCTACTTAAAAATTTGGAATACAATTTATATGATTTTAAGAATTATGAATGCTAGATGACTTAATTGCAGTTTGTATTATTTTACTGTCCTAGAAAATAATTTTATCATTATCATTATACCAACATAATCATCTATGGACTCGAAGTCAAAAGACATTCTTAGGAGTGGGAAATGATATGTCCAAAGTTTGTGTTTACATCCCAACCCTGCTCGCAGACAAACCATGTAGAGAAGTGTGAATGTGTAAGATTCTTCCTTAATCTAAACATTCAATTAATGTTATTATCATTTAAGTTACATGTTTAAATTACAGACAGACCAAAATGATACCAAAATATGGGAATAATAAGATGGGTATAATGGGTATAATAAGATTTTGTAGGATCCCTACAAAAACCATTCCTGCTTTTACCTGCTTTTGAGTGATGCCATATTCTGTTTTGTTTTGGAACAGTTTTTTGGCTGTATGATTGGTCAGGGATTATTCTGCACCAACTCATTTGGCTGTGCCTACTGAGGAAACTTGCTTGAGTGAAATGTCAAAGGGAGTTTCCCCATGTGAGAGCAGAGCTGAAGTTTGTTTGTTTGTGAGGTTTTTGTTGTGTTTTGTTCATTTTTAACAAGGACTCTGTTTTCATCCAGCCAGAGCTTGGGATAGCTCAGTAACTGGCTGGTTCAAGTAGCCTCAGATGCTGATTTTTGAGAAGTCCTGCACACTCACAGTCCTGACTAATGCCAGCAGAAGCTGCAATTATTACAAGCCTTGAACAATAAAGGCTTCATGATAAAGCCTCTTATCTAGGGTGTTTTTCCTCACAAAGCATTTACTGTAGAAATGAAAAGCTATTTTATAACCTTGATTTAGAAGAGCTGCAATCTTTACAGACTACAGGGAATTTTATCACATGTAAAAAACTTAGAAAATTACCACATGCCACTACAATCTTACAAATATTCCTGTAATAAGTCGGATAAACAAGATGTTCAGTAAACTAAACTGGGGGCAGTTAACAGCTATTTATTCCAAAACAGAGATACAAATTCACTTATTTAGATCCTTCATGTGCAACTTTAATTAAAACAGCAGCTCCTCACAGTGATCAGTAAAGATGTCACAGTCATGGTCTAAGAAGAAAAGATGGACTTTAGTTCAGGCTCTGCTGACAAAAAGATGATTTTCTCCAGCATTTAAATGGTGCATAGAGGTCCTATTAGTAATGCAGAGAATACTGGAAATAGTGTTTCTTTGCTTTAATTGGATCTGTCATTTATTTTCTCCTTTAAGATAAAATAATGCATTTCAGCTTATATTTAAGTGAACTATTTTATGGCCACTGAGCAGTATTTTATGAGAATTACTGTAGTACAACAAACACTGGGCTTCATATTTGAGACTGTTTAAATTCCCTGTCACGCTGAGTGAGCAAGCCTTGAAATAGGAGGATGTCCTTAGTTTGGGAAACTGACATCAAAATACTCATGTCTTACTTAACTATAGACTGTCTCTAGGCCAGGCTGTTGTTAAAAACGTGAATTTCATCTCATTCATAGAATCCTAGAATGATTTGGGTTGGAAGGGCCCTTCCAGATCATCTGGTTCCAGTTCCCTTCCTAACCTGATTAGATCAGGTTGCTGCAAGCCCCATCCACCCTGGCCTTGAACACTTCCAGGGATGTCAGGACCTCCTTATCTTATATGTCTTTCTCCTCCTCCACCTTTCCAGATAAGGATCAAGAGAGAAAGGAGAGTCTAAAGAGAACAGATTTCAGTATCACCATCTAACTGAGAGACAGTTGCAGGAAGCCAAAATATTGCTCTCATTATATCCTTCCAGCAGTCACAGGGCAGAGGGAAGATTGACAATCTCATTTGATTTGTATCAAAAAAGGGAGGGATGCACAGACTGGAGAAGAACACACCATGTCAAAACTCTGTATTACTTGAGGAGATACAGACAACCATGACAATGTGTGAAAATGTCACCCCCCTCCCCCCCTTAATTTTGGGATTATCCATTTGAATTTGTATAAGTACACATTGATGCCATCACGTTTTGCTCTCTGTGCTGCTGCCTTTCCTTCCTGGCACTACACAATTAAAGAAAATCTTCAGGATGGGCATTGCTGAGCTCTCCAGCAGACCTTGCCAGTGGTCCACCATGTGTTCCTTGTCCTCCAGTGAAGGATCTGTGTTGAGGAGGGAGCTGTTGTGCTGCAGGCAGTGGTGTTAGATGTTGTTAACAGCTCTGTCATCATAATTTCTTACTGCCTGGTGAAGGGGGGCTCCTCAGCCTCTGCTCTGGTGTGGTGTGCTTCAAGGCCTGACAAGTTAAAGCTACTGCAGAGTAGCTGCTCCAGAGATACATGATTATGTATTCAGCAGACACTAATTCCTTTTTTATTTCTATTGATACCATGTGTCACGAGCAGCACTGTGCTCTGAATTAACTCCGGGAGAGAACAACTGCATAAGACTTAAAAGGTCCTCCATCACTGTTTCTAGTTTTCGTCATTCAAAAGTTCTGTAGCAGGCAGCATTCTTGTTAGCGTTCTTCTAGGATGCTAAGAAGAGATACTGAGATGAGAATTGAGCTGTTATGTTCCTTTTACATCCTATTTCTTTGGGCTGGAGGCTTAGCTAAAACCCAGCAGGGCCTCTCAGGCAGTGTGAGGAAGGACATCAGCCATCCAAGTAACAGCCAGGACAGTTGGGATGCAATAAACAGCAGGTGTAGGAACACTCTCTAATATGGCTTTTTCTTTCTTGTCTTCTTTTTTGAAGCTGTGACCTTCCCTGGATGGACTGTGCCACTCCATATCTGTCATTGTCTTCTCTTAACATTTTTGGTTTAGCTGCTAAAGATTTTAATTTACTCCTATTTCTGCTGTAGTTGTTCAATCGAACTTGAACAAGTTTGCTCAGTTTGAGTGTTGAGCAGTGGTAGGGAGCCTGTGAGGCACTGGAAAGCTGTGCTGTGCCCTTAACCAGGACACTGGGAACCTCAGAGATGTTGCAAGCTGCTGGCAGGGGATGTTTGGAAACCCAAAAGCAGAGGTTTCCATCTGTAAGGTGTGGTAGGTAGGTTCTGGAATGGAGCAAAGGGAAGGCAAAGACAACCAGGGATTCAGCTGGAGTGCACACAGATTGGTGCCAGCTCTCTGAATCTGCTTGAGTCATTC